GGGAGCCGCTCCGACTTGCGGTTCGGAGTGGCGGCGCAAGACCTGGTGACTGGTCCTTTCTCGGCGGCGAGAGTGGAGCCAGTGTCGTTCGCCATAACCTAATTGACTAACCCTAATTCGCCAATAATAGCAATTTGGGAGACATGGTTGGTTTTCTTAGCAATGTTGAGCTCGGAAAGTAAGTAGCGAAGTGAGTTTACCTATAACTGTTTGGGAAACTGTGACCAATGGCGATGGTGTTCTTCCTGTGGATTCGGTGTTGCGAACGAGGGGATTCGCCGAGCACGATTTCGCTGCAGGTATCCCGAGAAAACCACAGAAAAAGTCGTGAGCAACCAAATACATTTGGCTTTGGGAATGGGGTCGAGGGCATTCTAGACTTTTGACTCTCATCATACAACTAATCATTTTTGTATAGTAAAAGAAAGACAGATAGTAACGCACATGATAATTGAATTTGAAATTCTTTGCTGATGATCATATTCATAGGAAAATTTAATTGGTCCAATTTTGTTTAGTGATTAACTTATTTTTCAATATTTAAATGATGAGAAATGGTAAGAAGAAATAAATATTGTAAATAGTCATTTAAGTGATTTAACTGCACACAATCATAAATTATTAATAAATTTGTTAAAATTATTATGTTGACTTCCACAATAGTTTAGCAACAATAGTGGCAAACTAAAAATTTACTTTTTAAGGAAGTTGAACAAAATTAAGCAATGATATGAATGTGCATATTGGAAATATTAAAATGTTAGGAATCATTCACTCACTTTGTCATTATTCATTCTATTCCTTTTAAATTGTTCTTTTAGGAAAAAAATATACATTGATTTATTTCTTAAAAATCTAAAATAATATTAATTATTAGATTTAATTATATTATTATCATTATTTTTTTAATTAATGATGTAAATAATATATAATCTAATACTATTATATATAAAGGGGAAAGTTAATCAATACTTTCACGGAACTAGCTAGCTAAAAGAAATAAGAACCAAACATATATAGAAATTTTATTTAAAATGTTTGTTATATTTAAAATATAAAAACTATTTAATATTTACTTTAAATAATTAAAAATAATTAATATGATATAGTTTCTCGATTAGTAGTAAGTCACTCTTTAATCATTTTTTTATATGAAATTCAAATTACATGTTATTTTTTTTTCTAATTTGTATACTTAAGACAATCGAGATATTCAGCAAGTAGTTTTTTATTTACATATTTGCATGTTATTTAATAGAATGATCACATTGTTTGTATAAAAAAAATCAAGATAAATAAGGCATTAAAGTAATTGAAAAATGTATTTGCATGTTTATATATTATGTAATCACATTATATATAGTAAATTTATTATGCATATCCTTTTTATTACTACAAAATTATATTATTCTTAAATTAAAATGGTTTGATTAATTTTTTTTAAGAATTTTTTTAACACATCATAATTGGTTAGTTTTAGGAATGTTCATGGATTCGTTCAATTTGAATTAGGGTAAATTAATGTTTGAACCAATCAATTTTAATTAGTTTAGTTTAAATTGGGTATATATATAAAAATTGTGATCCAAATCAAATTAAACCAATAAATGATAAGTTGGTTTGATTTGGTTTAATCGGTTTCCTTGAAAAAAAATAATAGATATTTATTTTTTCTAAAACATAAAAATACATTTTTATACTAAAGTTTAAATCAAAATCCATTATTTAATGTATAAATTTTGAAATTAAAATAATCAAATATAGTCTACCATTTAAAATTAAAGTATTTCAACATTTAAAACTAAGGTAATCTCTTAAACATATCTAAATTGTCTAAGTTACAATTATTACTCAAATAGTCTTCATGTATTTTTTCTCAATTTGAATGTCAACATGCAAATAACATATTAAGTGAAAATAAATGTTTAGAATGTTTTTAGTATTTGTCCTAATGATTAAACTAAGTTGAAGTGAATAATAGCTCAAAATTGGCCAAAAAAAATGACAAAGTCAAATAGCCAAGGTGCATCTAGATATGAATCATATGGTAATTAGGAAGTGAGTCTAGGATAACTAATAAAATAATAATACTATAAATAATAATAATATCATAAAATAACCATCATAACTTATTGTTAAAGTGTTAGTATGGTATAGTAATGTTGCACTTATGTGTTACTAATAAAATCATAATAATATAAAATAATATTAAGATAATAGTTGTCATAATAATAAAATAATAATAATAATAATTTTAATTGATTTGATTCTCATCTCATTAAATTTGTAAAATGTAAATTCATGATTTAAATCAATTAAGATTAGATTTAATTGGTTTGAGTTGGATTTTATCTGATAAAAAAGAAATCAAACCAACTTAAATTAATTTGGTTCAGATCATCAATTTTAACGAATTGTCCAAACTGACAAAGACCCGCTAGTTATTTGCATATATTACCATCATGTTTGGTTAACTATCAAGAATTATGTTTATATGAAATTCATGTGAAAAAAGGATGAAGCAACCCACATATCCTAAACATGTGGTAGATCTTTTTGTATGAAAATTGAATAATTGATTTGTTTTTAGTAAAATTGACCAATTGTATAATAAAGCATATTGGTTAGATAGAGAATGTTTCAAATAAAAAATTCTTAATACAAGAAATAAAAATTATTGATAATAATTATTAGATTAAAATAGTCAACTCAAATTAAAAGGTTATAAACAAAAATACCATGTACTATAATCATCATAGTTATCTTTATCATAATTGTCATTACAAATGTCATTGTCATCACTTTGACCTCCATTATCACTATTGTCACCATCATCACCGTTGTCGTCGTTGTTGTCACCACCATTGACAATAGTGGCAATGGAAATGGTGTGATAGTAATAATGACAATAATGATAATGAGGGTGGCGACAACAACAACAATAACAATGATAGTACAAATGGAGATAACAATGGCAACAAGGATGACTATAATGGTGGCAGTCATGGTAACAATGACAATCTATTTATAATATAAAAGTCGAGTTTCTTTGTATTACAATAACACATCATTTTAAAAATAAATTTTAGGTGTTGACATGTCAACAAAAATACTAACTTGTCATTATATGATATCTTATTTTTTTCTAATATATATTCATCTATGTAAATATAGCTATAAATCCACTTCAAAAACCTAGCCTCTCTTGCACCTTCCAAGTAGATTGACAATCTCACCATTGTCATTGTCACACTCCACCTCTCCCTTAATGACTACCTCTTCCCTAATATAATGTCCTTATCCTCCTCTTCTCCTCCTCTTCTCCATCTTCACCTTGACTAAACACAACGCTGACATCAACCTCTTCATGCCAAGACTCTGCTTGATGAGAATAAAAGATCATCCATTTCTTTTTTTTTTTTCTTTTTTGAGCATATTAACAACCCTACTATTGTCGTTGTCATGCTCCACCTCTTCCTCAACAACTATCTCCTTCACAATATGTCACGTCTATCCTCCTCTTCTTTAACGTCTTCACATTAACCAAATTTGATGTCGACATCAATTTCTTCATCTCAAAATTGTGCTCAATAAGGATAACAGGTCATCCATTTCTATTCTATCATTTTCTTTCTCTTTTAAGCAAATTGACAACCCTACTATTGTTGTTGCCATGCTCCACCTCTTCCTCAGCAACTACCTCCTCCATAATATGACACCTTTATCATCTTCTTCTCCATCGCCTTCACATCGACCAAATGTAACGTCAACATCAATTTTCTTCATGTCAAAATTGTGCTCAATAAAGATAATAGGTCATCCATTTATATTCTATCATTTTCTTTCTCTTTCAAGCATATTGACAACCCTACCATTATTTTTGTCACACTCCACCTCTTCCTCAACAACTACCTTCTCCACAATATGACGCCCATATCCTCCTTTTCTCCATTGCCTTCACCTCGGCCAATTGTGATGTCGACATCAACCTCTTTGTGTCAAAATTGGGCTCGATAAGGATAAGAGGTCATCCATATTTTCTTTCTCTTTTGATTTTACAAATGACTTATTTCTAAAGGTCTTCATAATTTATTATATGGATGAGGTAGCCTTGCGTATGAGATTCTTGGTGAATGAGACAAACTTACACTATGAGATCTTTATGGATGGGATAACACTGCACAAATCTCTCATAGATCTAAATTATAGATTGTTGATAGATGAGGTAACACTACAAACTCTAAAGGATAAGACAACATCACACTACGAGATCTCACATGGAATCAAACAACAAACTTTGGGAGAATCATGGAGCTAAAGTGTAAACTTTGTGAAAATCATGAAACCGAACTTTTTCTTCATCTTTACAAATTTCCTCCATTATTTTAATGTACATTTCTAAAAGAGTTTTAGAATTACTTTTGAAACTATATTTTTAGAATTACTTAAATTTTGTTTTAGAATCTTTATAATTTTTTTAATATAATTTTAATATCATTGCATTATGTTGTAATTGTTGGTGGTATTTCTTTTTTCTCATATTTCATTCACTCATTGTAGTTGATATTTAAATTGTCACCTCTTATTTTGTTCATTCTAATTATAAATAATTTTTTTTATGTTTTATATAATATTTATCGTCATTTTTTTCTCTTTTAAATTCTTGTAAACTTTTTTTTTCTTTGAACAAGAAATATTCAATGCCAAAGAGATAAAATTCCATTATTTTCTAAATTAAATTATAATCAATATCTCTTAATTATAAATTAATTGTCAATAATAATTTCTAATTAATTATAATTTAAAATTATCTTATTAATTACAAATTGTAACAATATTTAATTATGACTATTAATTATGTCATGGTTGTATAAATTAGAAATTATAACTGTTATAATTAATTATAATTTAAAAATATTTATTATTAATTACAAATTATAAAAACATTTGATTATAACTATCTATTATTTTTATGACATGATTGTATAAATTAATATTTCTAATTAAAATATTTAATAAAAATTTTAATTTTATCATCATTTTCTTCAATATTTGATACCCTATACATATATTTAAATTTGAGAAACTCATGCATAATTTATCATTATACTTCGATTTCAAATAATTCTTTATTCATTATATAACAACTCTAAGTTATATCATATATAAATAAAATTAAAAATAATTTGTATAATTAATATAATTTTGATTAATAAATATATTTTTACCTATGAAATTAATAAATTTTCTATAATTATTTAATTTTAATATTTAATATGATATTTATTTTAATTTTTAAATATTTATAATATTTTCAAATTATAACATATATTTATTCATGCACTCGTACAATGTACAG